ACTATGTTGTTCACCTTAAAAGTCAGTTTGGAACTTAATACCTTTCCTCATTCCACATTGAATAAACTATTTTGGTTTATGTATAACTCCCCAAGGACAGAGAATCCATCTTATTTAATTCATCATCACCAGCATATTACATGGTTCCAGGTACCTAAAACAAAGCAAGTGCTGAAAAAATATGTGTGAAAATGAGCCAAATTGAAAAAAAAAAGAGTCAAATTGCAAAGACCATGGATTCTATGATATTGGTAATGATCATGAGGAATATGAGACCTTCCTTTTAGACAGGCCTATGTTAAAATTATGGAGATTTGGAATTTTTTCCTACCAATGGAAAAAATCCTAGGCTCATAGGATAGAAAGCTTTATAAAGTAACTATTCTTCTGGGGTTTTAAAACAATAACTATTATTAAACATATACATAGTATATTACATGTAAATGCCTAAGGCTTTCTTTCTGTACCACTGTAACCACTGTCTTGATAAACTCTGAGGTTTTCTAACACAGACAATAGGTATAAAAAATAGATACACATACACATGCACATAGAGAGAGAGGCAAAGAATACATGCAATCATAATGTCATTACCTTGGGTCTACATTTGGGATACTCATGGTCGCCTGGGAGCACTTTGAAAGAAATTGGTACCCGGTCAGCTCTCCGATTGGCACAGAAAGCATCCCAGACAGCTCGATGGACAGCATTATAAACTACATCCAGGCCCGTAAGAGTAACAAAAGCCATAGGCCGACAACATAATTCCACAGGGAAGTCCCACTGTGTGGGGCTCATATTTAAAGTGCCACAAAAAATCTGAAATACAAATGTTAATACATTTATAATTGGTTAAAGAAAAAACCCATATCCATTTCTAACATATGAACCTCTGTCATCTAAAAATCATTACGAAAAGGCAAAAGGCCTTGAGTCTCTGGAAACTGTCAAGCAAACAGAAGAGAGCAAAAGGGAAAACCTTAATTCCTCAGTTGGACCTATTAAAATGTAGTAACTATATTAAACTTTTAAAAAATCTTCACATTAAAATGTTACAGTCAATTTTAAGACAAGTCAGTATTTTCCAGAATGTCTCCAAATGCACACAGAACTTTGAAATGAGCAGACCAAGAAAGCAGGAAGGTGATCAATTTAAAATAGGTCCACATGACCGTATTTCAACTATAAATAATAAAAGTAAAATAATTATTGACTTGCATATATAATAAAGTACAACTTTATTATATATCGAGAACATGTTTCTCTGAGGGGTCCATTTATTATGGACTAAGAATCCAGTATGCTTTGACTTTAGA